GGGGGCAAGGGGTGGATGAAATTTATCTGGAACCTACAAGAAGACTCCAGTCGCAGTTCCTCAGATATACCTTGTTAGTTCAAGCCGATCACAAAAACAAAGCACACACACACACACACACACAGAGAGAGAGAGAGAGAGAGAGAGAGAGAGAGAGAGAGAGAGAGAGAGAGAGAACACGCTGGTGTCCATGGAATCGAGAAGAGTGTGAGAGTGTGTTGACTTTATTTGGGTAATGAGTACTAAGAACCAAGCAGGTCCTCCACAAGAGCATTATGTGCTCTTAACTTCTGGGGAATTTCTCCAGCTTCCCACTTCCTGTTTCCTCAAGCTTGCATGACATAGAAACGTGTGTGTGTGTGTGTGTGTGTGTGTGCGCGCGCGCATTCTTGCATCTTTCACCCACTAAATATTTAAGTAAGAGAGAACTAGTGGGGAAGTTTTTTTTTTTTCATTTATCTTTGGTGCTAATTGCTGTGTAATCGTGGAAAATTTTCTCTTAGTCAATGAGTGTATGATATTTTAATGGTGAACTTGATACAATCTAAAAATTCACATGGAAAGAGTCATTAAATAAAAGGTATTTCAGGATCAGGTTGGCCTGTGGTCATGTGTGTGGAGGATTCTCTCCCTTGCTTTAATTGGTATGGGAAGCTTCAGCCTGAAAATGTAGCATACCACCTCTTGGCCTGGTTCTCTGGATGGTGTAAAAATAGAGAAAAGTAACCGAGCACTAAGCTTGCACAGATCTTGACTAGGGATGAACTGTAACTAGCTGCTTCAGTTGACTATAAACTGTGTCCCAGGAGTCATCTCTGGAGGCTCCCCATGATACTGTTTTGTATGGATTACCTGTGGAAACTTGGAAAGGACCTGGGGAGAGGAGGTGTTTTAAGGGAGTTGGGATAGCAGAATATAAGAGGAGAGTAAAGGGTGAGAATACTGGGGTGGAAAAGTTTGGCAGGGAGGAAGGTGAGGGTTTGGGAGAAAATGGGAGAAGGCAAATGCCTAACCAAAATGAAGACACTGTAGAAAGTCCATAAAAAAACCTACTGTTTTATAATCTAAATTTTAAAATGTACAAAAAGGTGGAGGTTGGTAGTTGAAGAGAGCTATCCTGTAGAGCCAGACAAGGCTGCTCCTAGAAACACTGGTTTACTAAACAAAATTTCACATACCAGCTGAGGTATGTGAATATCTCTGTGAATACCTCTGCAGGAATTGGTCAGGGAGGGTTGGTTGCCCAGCAGAACTGGAAGATAAGACCCTCTCACTGAAGACACCACATATCTCGATCTCAAGATGCAGAAAATGCCAGCTGGAAAACAGATGGGTACTTCTTTTTAAAAATTCTTTCATTTGGGGGGATTATAATTAATTACATCATTTATCCCTTCCCTTTCCTCCCCCACAATCATCACTTTCTCTTTCTTGTTCTTTCAAATTTATGGACTCTTTTTTTTCATTAATTGTTGTTACATGCATATGTGTCTATGTATATACATATATATTCTGGAATATATAAATATATCCTGCTCAGTCTGTATAATGGTACTCGTACAGACATTTTTCAGGATTTGCCATTTAGTATTGGATAACCAATTAGTGTGGTTTTCCGTGGGGAAGAGTATCTCTTAGTTTCTTGAAGTTCTTTGTGCAGGGTTGATGCCTCCTGTCTCACTCCCAACCCCCTGGTCCACTTTAGTGTGTCTAAAGCTATTCTTCCTATGTGCTAAAAAACTTAATAATGCTGGAAGATGCTGTGCAGATTGTTGGGGTGAAATGTCCTTACCCACCTGAGAGCCCTATGTACCAAACTCTTATCTGCTCAGCTTAACTATTGTGGATGTAATCAACTAATCATCTGATCTGAGGTCCACTCAATGGGAAAGGGTTCATGGATGGTACCATAAGCCCAGTTAAGAATCTATGCTCGGAGAGATCATATGCCCACATGTAGAACTAATTACTGTTGTTTAACTCAACTGATATAGCATCAAGGTGTCTTCTAAATTTCTATGTTTATACATGTAGACAGAAGCTACTCTCAACCTTAATCAGAGAAGACTTTTCAGGCTCTTCAGAATGTTAAGAATAAGTAGCAGTTGTGGACTTAGCCCTAAACGAACATTTACATCAACCCTCTGAAACTGAGGACATAGCTTGGTAGATGGGGTAGTTAGAGAGTATGTAAGAGCTAGAAGCTAGAGTTAAAAACTGCAAAATGCCATCATATAGCCTCCATACGTCCAACACAATCATGAAAGTGCAACAATTGCAGTTATCTGCACTAGGCCCCTAAGACTGGCCCTATAAACAATCAATCATAGAAATGGTGGAGATGTGGAAATATACCCCTTATTGCTGAACTGCTATTGATTGATTCTGAGTGAGGAAGAATCATTATTTTTAAGTTGTGTACCCATGCTGAACTCACCAGGCCTTAATGGATAGGTATAAATCTATGCTTATATAAGTGCAATTGGTTTAAACTTGTGTTAGGAAGAAATTAATAAGAAAGAAGAGGAGGGACATAGGGCTAGACAGGAAGTAGGAAAGGGTGTAGGGGAAGAGTGATCAGCATGTGTTATGTACACATTTGCAATTGTCAAAGAACACATTTAATTGATAAAATCATTCTGTTATGACTTGAAAGTAAGTAGAGGCTCGTTGCAATAAATGGCATAATATGTGAACATACATATTACAATTTTGTGTAATGTGTAATTTCTTCCTAGGAATGTGGGAAGAATAGCTCCTGGAAAAAATCATTAAATATTTTAAGCACATCAACAAGATTTATTAACCTGAGAGTTATTAAAAAAAACATGTTTAAATTACTTTCACATTTTTTGTTTCTTAATATTTCATTATAGATGAAACTCACTTGAAGATTCCGGTCTTACACTCCAACTTTCTGCAGATGGTAAACCCAAACTTCATGTGGGTTCTCCTCATCTTCACCTTCTTCTCTTTGCTTGAATATTTACTCTTCATTCTAATAAGTCATATGATTTCAAGTACATTGTTCAATGTTTTCTTTTTTTCTTTTTTCTCATTTTTTTATTAAGAAATTTTCTACTTACTCTACATACCACCCACAGATCCCATCTCCTCCCTCTCCCACACCCCCACCCTCCCTCCCAAGCCACCCCACATCCCCACATTCCCCAAATGGAGGTCTTCCATGGGGAGTCAGCAGAGCCCAGCACACTGAGCCTAGGCAGGTCCAAGCCCCTTTGCACTGCACCAAGGATGTGCAAGGTGCCACACCACAGGCATCGGATTCTCAGAAGCCTGCCCATGCACCAGGGACAGATCCTGATCCCCCTGCCTGGGTGCCCCCCAAACAGTTCGAGCCAAACAACCATCTTCTGTAGCTAGAGTTTTTCTGGTCCTGCCTGGCTCACAGTCAGGACAAATCTCTCTAACCTGTCAGTCTCACAGCAGCTCAGATCCAACCAAGTAAACACACAGAGACTTATATTGCTTAGAGACTGTATGGCCGTGGCAGGCTTCTTGCTAACTGATCTTATATCTTATATTAATCCATTTCTATAAATCTATATCTTGCCACATGGCTCGTGGCTTACCAGCATCTTCACATGCTGCTTGTCATGGCGGCGGCTGGCAGTGTTTCCCTCCACCTTCCTGTTCTCCTAATTCTCCTCTCTGTTAGTCCCGCCTATACTTCCTGCCTGGCCACTGGCCAATCAGTGTTTTATTTATTGACCAATCAGAGTAATTTGACATACAGACCATCCCACAGTAGTCTTCCATATCCAGATAACCCCACCTTGGAGTGCTGGCAGTGGTCTAGAGGGTGCCTTGACTGGTTTACTCTGGTGACCAGTCTAGTGAATAACCTAGCTGTCATCATAGAGCCTTTGTCCAGTGACTGATGGATGCAGATGCAGAGATCCATGGCCAGGCACCAGGCTGAGCTCTGGGAATGAGCTCCAATCGATGAGAGAGAGGAGGGATTCTGCAGGCAGGGGACAATGAGATCATGATGAGAAGAGTGCAGAGATGACTAGCCACACTAGTGGAGGCCCACGAACTATAGACTAGTGGCTGTGGAGGCCCCATGGGACTGGACTATTCCATGTTTTCTATCAGCTTTTCTGCAAATTATACCTGCTTTGTAGCAAGATACATAAGCTAAGTAGGCTGAGGCTTGCAAATCTGGAAACTAAAGAGAAATATCTAGAATCTTCTTGATAGACAAGGAAGGAGATAACAATCACTTCAATTCCGTCTCCTTTCTTCTTTCTTCCTGTGTCCTTTTCTACTTTCCCATTAACTTAGACTATGCCCTTTCTTAAATTAAACATTCTTTAAACTTTAAGAAAAATGCACCTCTGTAGCTTGAGTTTTCTCTTTGGGTCCTGCCAAGCCCCAGCAGTCCGACAGCCCACTTATAAAATAAACACATAGATGCTCATATTATTTAAACTGTTTGGCTTAATGGCTCAGGCTTCTTGCTAGCTGTTCTTATATCTTAAATTAACCCATTTCTATTAGTTTGTAAGTTGCCACATGGCTCATGGCTTACCAGTACCTTACATCTTGCTTGTCATGGCGGCAGCTGGCAGCGTGTCTCTGCCTCAGCCTTCCACTTCCCAGAATTCTCCTCTCTCCTTGTCCTGCTTATACTTCCTGCCTGGCTACTGGACAATCAATGTTTTATTTATTAACCAATCAGAACAATACATTTAACATACAGAACATCCCACAGCACACCTCCTTTCATAAATTGTATCTGACATTGTAGCAGGAATCTTAAAAGTTCTTATTAATAAAATCAAACCCGAGGCAAGTTATTGGGGTCCATGCTGGTAGATCAGAAAGACAGAACAAGCCACAGCTATCTCACCTCGCCAGATCCTCAGCTGGTCTTGTCTCCCCAGACTGGAGGCCTCTGAGTCCTCATCCGGAATGGGTCTCAGCTGAATTACTGCTCAAAAGCCTGAATGCTTAACCAGCCAAAATCTTAACCAGCCAAATGCTTCTAGTTTCTGGTCCTCACGCCTTATATATCTTTTTGTTTTCTACCACCACTCCCTGAGATTAAAGGCTGGCTTTCTGGGATTAAAGGCGTGTGTCATCATGCTTGGCTATTTCCAATGTGGCCTTGAACTCACAGAGATCCAGAGGGATTTCTATCTCTGGAATGCTAGGATTAAAGGTGTGAGTGCCACCATTTTCTAGCCTTTGTACCTAGTGGCTGTCTGTTCTCTGACCCCAGATAAATTTATTAGAGTACACAATATTTTGGGGAACACAATACCACCACATTTCCTCTCTTTTTGTCTAAAATTAAAAAAAGCTTATAACTAATACAAGAAAAACTATCTAATAAGTATATACAATATATACAGACAAAAATTACATTAATGATGTCTAGTCCATTAACATTTGACAGATTCAGATAAAAACTCCATTATATATATTAACAATGTCCGGTCCAGTAACATCTGATAAACTCAGACCAAAAAATTTTCATTACTTATCTTATTTAAAACAAGTAGTTCCTTTTTAAAAGTAGATTCCATAATCTCCCTTTTTATCTTATCATATCCATATTTTCTCTTTTTTCTTTTCATAATACATTCAGTAGTCTACCTTTTATCATTTTTATATCTTCCCCTTTTTCTTCAGTGTAGATTCAATGATCTACCTATTTATCCTATTATTTCTTTATCATTTTTCTCAGAGTAGATTCAATGATCTATCTCATGACATAATCATGTTTATATCAATTCTATGTTTCTTTATATCATATTTGCATGTCTATCATAATTTTGGTTTTTTTAACAGCACCCATTTCTCTCCTATTTGTCCATTATGAGCTCTTTAAGCTCTTTATGTTCTTGTTCCTTGTCAAGAGTGTAGCGATTTGAATATGGAGTCCTGGTGTTCATTTTTCTGTGCTCTGTGATTCTTAGTGCAATGTATAGTGGGTTATTAACCATTGCATGATCATTCTCATAGTCCATATATATTTCTTGGTTTCTGGAGAGCTGAATGTGATATTTCCTGAGAATTGGAGATGTGTAATGTCTGCTTAATCCTGGCTAATTACGTTCTCATAAATATCAGCCTTAAACTACAGCTCTCTGTTGACTCATTTAAATAAAACTGCTACTTTCTCTGTTCATAATGAGCTTAATTTACAGATGTATGTCCTAACTTGGAGAATTGGATGAGTTTATAATTGGAACTGGAAAGAATGAGGTATTTCTGATGACAAAAACAGAGGCAAATATTGCTGATAGAAACAAGAGAAAGAAGGGAGGATGTCTGAAATATGCACAGAAAAGAAATTATATTGTGGTGTTTCAGTTCTGCTTGTAAGCTACTTTGAAATGCTTCTCATTCTCCATCATTCCATAATTCCAAGGCCAACTTTTTTTTATTTGGGAAAATGAAATAAAAGTAAAAATACAAGCCTAGTGCCAGTCAAGGCTGACCCAGGAGTATTTTCAGGGATTCAAGACCAGTCTAAGGAATATTAAAAGAGTATCCTGTAAATGCATGTGTTCCCCAATACCCTCCTTAGACTGTAAATTCTAATTAGAACTAGGAGAAGTATGAATTTCTCATTGCTTCTTGATTGATAAACATAATTTCCTGGTATCTGGAGAAAGAAGATATTTGAATAATGAAACTTAAATATAAATATTTGTGAATTCAAATACAGATTTCAGTTAGATGGTTGCCTCATGCATCAGATTGGCCTCCTTTTATATTCATGTTATTTTTGTTAAATTGTATCATAAGCACAATTATTACTAATTAAATTCAGCTCAAAATACCAGTTCTTTCACATAGACTATGTTTGACAATGACTTTAAGTTATCAACAATTACATATTTGGTTCAAATACAACTGAATTGTATGACTAAAAATAATATTTCTAATTTAAGTGAATTTATGTACATACAAAAGCTTTATAGAGGCTTTAAAGTAGAGAATCAATCAATTCTATGAGTATAAAAATTTTGAAAAGTTGTGCATTGTTTTCTTAACTTAATTCTTTAAAGCTAATATTTCATTCAAAGCATTTATGAATATATAACTTGCATTCCCAGCACAAATACATTAATCATAAAGACAATACGTAAAACATATTTCTATTTTATGTAAGCTTAGATTAAAGTTGGGAAAAATCAATTTGTCAGGCCGGTTGTTATGCATAAAAATAGGATGTCAATAGGTACAAAAATGAGGAAGCGTATATAAAAAATCAAGTGAAACTAGACCTGGGAAAGATGGAAAGAGTTCAATGTTAGTTAACAGATTATGCTGGAATGAGAAAAAACTCATGGCTATATAGTCAAACTATCTCAAGGCAGTAGAGCCTGCTCCAAATCTGAGCAGTAATGCAGTCTTTCTTTTGCTGAAACACTTATGTCCTGGCATTCTTCTGCAGCAGCACGAAGCTCTCTGCATGGCGTAGTGCTTGAAGTTTCATGACCACCATTTTAAAGTTAAAGATTGGTCTTATCTGTGCCTTTCTTTCATTTTGTGCAGCTCTAAATTCCAAGATTCTTGATATGATTATGAAATAACTAGACAACAAGCATATTAATGTCCATGCCATTGAATAATTTAATTTTAATTGTATTTTTTGTGTGTGGGTGTTTTACCTCTACGTAGGTCTGTGTACCACATGTGAGCTTGGTGTTCAAGGAGATCAGCAGTGGTAGTGTGATAACCTACTTCTCAAATGACAGATGGTTCTGCCTTACCATATGGGCGTTGGGACTCAAATCCAGGTCCTCTGGAAGAGCAGCCAGTGCTGTTATCCATTGAGTCATTCCTCTAGTCTTAATGATATTAATTAAGCAGCTTATTTTCTAGTAGTAACTGAAAAGTCATTAAAGAGCTTAAATAAATAGCGCTTATTATGAACAGAAAAATATAAAGGTAATTACTACCCCTTTGGCTTGGTTAGCATGTGTCCATCATGTGTGCTGTATTTACATGGTCTAGTTTGA